TATAATGAAATTTTAGGTTTGCTTTAGTTTTATACGTTTTATCGCATTTGTCACATTTGTACGGACGCGACGATGAATGAACTATTTTATGGGCTGTTAAATGGTCTTTTATCCAAAACTTTTTATCACATTCCTTAAAAAGAATAGTAAACATTATTGCCACTTTGAGATATCATTGCTCAATATATTTGACGATTACAATCGGAAAACGTACTCGGCACTGATAAGGTTTCTCAGAATTAGAATGAGAAACTTTATGATGATATCTTAGCTTTGCTTTAGTGTTATACGTGTTATCGCATGTGTTACATTTGTACGGACGCAACGATGGGTGACGTGCTTCATGTTCAGTTAAACTTTGGTTTGCACAGAAACGTTTATCACATGCCTTAAAAAGAATAATGCAGATTATTGACACTTTCAGAAATCAATACGCAATATAGTTGACGAATGCAATTCTCAAACGTACTCCGAATTTATAAGATTCCTCACGAGGAAGATGACGTTCATTATGGGATGCTAGTTGTTCCTCAGTTTCAAAAGTTTTCTCGCATATGTCACATTCATACGGACGCAACGATGAATGAACTATTTCATGGGCAGTCAATTTCTTTTTTGCATAAAAACCTTTATTACACCCCTTAAACTAAATAGTAAACATTATAGTTACTGTGAACTATTACTACGCAATATATTTGACGAATGCAATTCAAAAACGTACTCCGCATTTATAAGGTTCCTCACGAGGAAGATGACGTTCATTATGGGATGCTAGTTGTTCCTCAGTTTCAAAAGTTTTCTCGCATGTGTCACATTTATACGGACGCAACGATGAATGAACTATTTCATGGGCAGTTAATTTTTTTTTTGTCGCAAAACGGTTAGGACATTGCTAAAAAAGTATAGTATTCTTTAGTGTCACTTTGACAAATCAATGCGCAGTATATTTCACGAATGCAATCAAAAAACGTACTTGACACTTATAAGGTTTCTCACAAGAAGGATGAATGGTAACTTGGTTCTCCATATTTCACTTACGTTGAAAAGTTGTTTTGCACGTGGCACAATCGTATGAACGCAATGACGAAAATGTACAGTTTTATAAATATTCAACTCGCATTATTATACAATAGGTATATGATAAATTGAGTGAAAGATAAACAAACTAAAACAAAAAAGAATATTGAGGATAGACAGAAAGAAAGTAAGAAACAGAGCAAGGAAGAGATTACGTAAAAGAGAACTTTAAGTATACTTTAGTGTATATACACAGTGTCCGACAATTACCTTAAAGTCGTTTGGAGGCAGGTAGGAGTAAAACTGTGTCGAAAAGTCTTGACTTAAATTTTTTTATTTTATATAATAAAGGAATAATTATTGAATAAATCAAGCCAAGCAGCGCCGATTTTTAGTCGAGCGGATTTTAGTGAGCTGCGCGTCTGGTGTGCGTGATTGCTCTGCGCGTCTCGCTGACATGCGCCCAGCTAAAAGTCGGCGTTGATTGGTTTTAGTTATTCAATAATTACTCTTTTAATATATATATATATATATATATATATATATATGTAATAGAAAAAAATGGTTCAGCTTCACTTTTTGCCTGTGTTTTACTCCTTTTATCTGCCTACGAAAGATTTTAAAATAAATGTTGATACCTTGTATATTATCCTTACTTTGCGCACGAAATGTTTTCTGCTAGTTACGGTAATATCATCATTAGACTGTTTGAAATTCTTTTGTTTCTCGTAATCTATGCAAATTTTTATCAATATGCGTAAACATTTTGAACTAAGACATATATATACATCCGTGTGGCGTTTGACAAACACTGAGCAAGGAATCATTTACGGAGAAGATTTCTACAAAGAACACGATGTGTATACGTAAGAGCACAAGAGAAAACTAAACTTTAGCTCGTTGATATGTTATCGCAAACGGAACTAAAACCTAAGACGTAAACACGATCTTGTCCAAGGTATAATAATAAATAGGTAGAAATGTTATTGTATAGTGACTTGGTGTGTAGGGAAGACAGATAATATGTTACATGTAAGTAACGATATGGTAAAGTGACTGAAGATTATTTGAAAAAAAAGCTAATAACACCTCAACTTTTTTTTTAATTGTACTTTAGCAATGGTTATTTTTAAAAAGTCACATTCGGTCGGTCGTAAATCGAATTTCATTTTCAAGTTTTGACATCATTGTACTCTGTTACAGATCGGTTCTTAATGCGATGCTTATGAAAAAGCAAATGGTTTTTATGCAACTAGATCTCGAGCCTTTCGATGGTCCAGTAACAAATACGATCAGACACTTTAAGAAGAATCGAAAGAAACTGAAATTTAACAGGGTTATCGGTTTACGATAGGAAAGTCGGGAGACTCGCGTTAAACAATTCTGAGTTGCAATTAAAACAAATTACATAAAAAAGAGATGCGTACTTGAGATCGAAAGTGATCTTAATAAACACGCGGTTACCGTTACGCACTCCTTACTTAAGTGGCGAGCGCTGCCGTTTCGCACACCACATCTCGATACATCAGATCGTAGAGAGTTGAAACGAACTTCCGCGTCCTTTACAACGGGAATTTATACTTGGATTAATGTTTCCTTTTTTGTCTTGTACTGCTCTATCAAAGCACGTGATTGCTAATTTATGAAATTTACTCGCGGCAGTAATCATAATAACGATATCAAGTTTTACTTTGGTTGTTGAAATAGATATTGTTGCGATTAACGCGTGCAAATGTCTTCTCGCGTGATACCCTGTTTAGGTGTTCATGAAATAGAAATTTGCGTGCGCAGATATTATTATTGTTAGCGTAATAAATATTCCGCGATATTGTTTCATAATTGTTTGATTCGCAGTTGTATTTGAAATACATTTTCGTGAAAATTTTATTTAAAGTGGAGTTTCGCATGACATACACACTCTTTACACACAAGTAATTTTATAAAAATTGCTGCACAGATACTTGTTGGATAATAACTATTTTATTTTAAGATTTAAAATTGTGCAATAAGAACAATATTTTCATGTTGCGTCATACAATGTTATTCCGTAAAGTTTTGAATGTTATTGTCTCTTCGTCTCTTTTGTTACATAAAATTTTCTGATACTAAATGCTTTCGTATTTATGTGTATATTCTTGCATGCAGTTTTGGATGTCGTTGAAATCAGCAAAGCTTCGTCTACAGCGTGTTTTTGAATGAGTAGTTAAACTTGCAGGGAGTGAAGTTTGACCTTTTACAAGGAATTTAA